CTAAATTATATTGTATGAACACAGCAGCATGATCAGAAATAACTATATTTCCTATAAAGCTGGAGATAACTGACGGCAGTAGAGTTCTTGGGAGAAAGAAATAGTCAATCCTGGTATAGGATTTGTGAACATTTGAGAAAAAGGTATATTCTTTCTCAGCTATATGTTGGGCTCTCCACACATCTGCATAGCCTAAGTCCTCACAAAGTCATTTAAGCTTGAGGTGAAAGTGATAATTTACCAGGTGGAGATTTGTCCATGATAGGATTTCAATGGCAATTAAAATCTCCTCCAATAAATGTGTTTCTGACATTAAGATCTATCACTTTGGAGGAAGAAGAAGTAAGGAAGTCACTTGGGTATCCAGGTGAGTTGTAAATATTCATTATAGCAATTTCTTCCCCATGAAGTACGCCTCTCACAATCTAGAAGTTTGAATGGCACATTCCTCTGGATTGAAGTGGCCACACCTCTACTCCTTTAAGTAAAAGATGAAAAATAAACCTGTCCAAAACCTCCTTGTTGTAATTTCAGATGTTCACTGTTGTTTAAATGTGTCTCTTGCAATAGCGCTATGTCAACTAATTTCTTTTTAAGATAAGTTAGAATCTTTTTCCGTCTGACAGGTGTATGAACACCATTTACATTCCAAGTGCATAGCTTCAAAGCTGATGTGATTATTGGCTATGAACTAAAATATTGCCTGAACACATTGCCTGTCATGTAATCCATAATGAAGTGAGCCAAATAGAACAAAAACAGAACATTGTAACGGTTATAACAAAAAACAGACTTGCAAATTAATGTTAACACATGCCTGTAGTCAGCACTGAGCGCTCTCAGCCGTTTCTTCACTCTGTCGTGAGTGTCGTCTCCTGCGGAGAACTGAAGCTGAAAAGTCATGAAATATCATCACTGTTGCCTCCTCATATTTCAGCGCTTGATTTTTCCTTCCCATCTCCCAGGCCGTATTCATCACACGTTGTTTATCTTGATAGTTGTGGAATCTGACCAGCACCGGCCGTGGTCTCTGAGTGGAGGGGGGCTTTTGGGCCAGCGAGTGGTGTGCTCTCTACAACTTCACGCGACCCGAATTCGTTCCGATGTGAAGGATTTTAGGGAGCCAAGCCTCAAAAAACTGAGTCAGGTCATCTCCTTCAGCCTCCTCTGGGAGCCCGACGATACCAATGTTTTTGCGTCATCCTCTGTTTTCCAGGTCGTTGGACCGCTCACTTAATTCACACACCAACTTTTCCAGCGCTTTCAACTTCCTGTCAACCGGGTGTGTGACATCCTCCAGCGCTGAAATCCTCTGTTCAGCCTCGGTTATCTGCTTCTCATGGCTGTCCAGTTCTTCTCTGTGTATTTTTAAGAGCTCTGACAGTGGGCCGAGTTTGTCGTCTATGACTTTAGAGATGTTAGCTGTAATTTCACCCACTGCTTAACAAAGTGCCCGTAAGTTGGAGTGCTATTTTTGTAGGGTTAAGTGAATAAATTAGCACATAATGAGCGCAGCAGCTCTCCAGAACGTGACCTTCCCTCACGCCGCCATCTTTAAAAATCCCCGGAAGACGTGTTTTAAAAAAAAACATTTATTATGAAAATAATAAAAGTATAAACAGACAAACAGTGTGTGTGTGAGTGAGTGACTGAGATTCAAAATGGCGGCTGGCCACTATGAAGACAAAAGGCCCCCTGGAGTGGTGGGACCATGTGGCTAAGATCACATGTTTGTTTTAAGTTTGTGGAGATGAGTGTGTGAGGTGTTGGTGCCAGGTTAAAGAAAGTAGTTAGATACACGCAGAGAAAATGATCAGCATTGCTCAACCAAGTCTACGCCCACCACAAGCTGGCAAGCACTGTGAGGGTCATGTTCTTTGACTTCTCCACTGCGTTCAACACCATCAGGCCGACACCAGAGACCTGCCACCTTCAGAAGTTTTCTGATGACTCTGCAGTAGTAGGATGTATCACTGATGGGAATGAGAGTGAGTACCGGACTGTGGTGGACAACTTTGTCACATGGAGCGGTAAAAACCACCTACAGCTCAACGTGTCAAAGACAAAGGAACTGGTGGTGGACTTCAGGAGGTCGAAGGGGCTGGTGACCCCTGTCACCATCCAAGGGGCCAGTGTGGACATGGTGGAGAACTAAAAGTACTTGGGGGTGTACTTAGATAATAAACTGGACTGGTCAAAAAATGTGGATATGATTTACAAAAGAGGCCAGAGCTGTCTCTATTTTCTGAGACGGCGCAGGTCCTTCAACATAGACAGGACGATGCTGCGGATGTTCTATGAGTCTGTTGTGTCCAGTGCCATCATGTTTGCTGTTGTCTGCTGGGGCAGCAGCTTGAAGAAGAAGGACATTAATAGACTCAACAAGCTAATCAGGAAAGCCAGCCATGTTGTTGGGGGGACTAGACAGTGTCACAGTGGTGATGGAGAGGAGAACTTTGTCCAAAGTAAGGATAATATTGGACTTTCCGCCACACGCTCTCCATAATGTCTTGAATAGCTTCTGTAGCTCATTCAGTGACAGACTCATCCACCCACGCTGCTCGACAGAACCCCACAGGAAATCTCTCCTGCCTGTGGCTGTCAAATTGTACAATGACAACCTGTAAATCATAAAGATTAATAATGTATACTGTGTATACTTTAACTTTAACTTACACTCATGCACAAATGTAAATCTAGATGTAGCCGGAGGTTTTCTCCCTCCCGGCCACTGTGTGGCACTATGCTGGGGTTATGTCCCCCTGATTGCTGGGCAGCGCCAGTCTGCTGGTTATAACCGGGTGAGCGGCCACAGCATGCCCTTTTTCCTTCCACTCTTTGATCCCTCGGGTGGTGGCTGCGGTGTGGCGTGGCTGCAGCGAGGCTGCAGCGTGGCGTGTTAGACTTCAGGCACATTCCCCATACATACAGCACGGCAAGTGGCCTGCTATACCGACGGACGGGTCGTCCTGCTGGGAGATCTGTTGAGGTTGGGTTTGTGTCCGCAGCGTATCCGTGCTGTTAGGCGCAACACTCTCGCCCTTCTGTGCATAGGAAAAGGCTGCAGTCAAGTGTGTGGCATGTCTCTTGCCACCGCTCCCTGGAGTAGTTCTGCTGTTTTGGCTCTGTGGGTTCTGACGGAATCTGGTTGCTCTGCCCTGCGCTGGTTCTGGCTGGCCGCTTTACTCATGGCCTCTCCACCCGTGTCGATCGGCTGGTGGTGTAACCTTGAGCAGGCAGCGTCTGAAGCCACTAATTTTAACCATTGTTAAATTAAATTGTTTAATTTTTTAATTGTTTCCTTTTTATAAATTGTAGGATTTATTCTGTTTTGTATTTCTGTAGCTTGTAGTTAAATTGTGGATTACTTGTTTTTCTTTCTTTGAGTGTTTATTTTATTTGCTATTATTGGTTCTAAGTATGTGCATGTGTGTGGATGAATGTCTTTTAATTAGTACCCATTGTTGTTTCCTTTTGGCTATTAGTTTACATTTTATGCACTCGTGGCATTGTTTTAACCTTAAATTTTTGTGTTGGACAGGTGTGGGCCCCAGGTGGCAGCCCAACTCCCTGTTGGTGGCGTTCTTCACGATTCCCTTTTGAGTTGGTGTGCAGTGTCACGGGTGGTGAGTTTGTGATTCCTTTCCCCTTTTTTCTTCCCTGCTGCTGTGGTAAGCCCCAGCCCTGTCCTTCCTCCATTTTATCCTGATAGCCAGCATATTGTATGTTTCTGTATTGTTAAGTGTTAATTTCATTTGTAATAAAATATGTTTTTATATTGAATGCTCTCTGCCCCCTGTGGATAATTGAACATGTGTGACCCTCAAACTTTAAATCTTTAATTTCCTGGGGGTGAAATTCCCCTAGGTGGCGTTGTTGCAAACAACCACAACCCAGTGCGCCACATTCACATACCCGGTCTTTATTTCTACATATGTCTATCTTTATTTAAGCCTTACTTGATTTTTTTAATATTGCTATGTTTATACCTGCTTTTGCTCCTTCACATCTTTCTCAGGGGCTCTGTAACGTTTGAATTTCCCTATGGGGATTAATAAAGTACTTCTGATTCTGATTCTGATAACATAAATAAATAAATAACATATTACCAAATATCACAACAACACAAGTCAAACTTATAAACATCACATCAAATAGATATAGAATTAAACAGTCCTTTGCTTAGCCTAGTGTAACAATAAAGCCCAGTTGTGTTACTAGCCCATGAAAAAGGGGGTAAGGTCTTTTTTGGATGTGCTGTTTGAAGTCCAGTGAAGTGGTCTTGTTGGTTTGTGGCTCCTGTTGTGCATCTGCTGGTCAGACCTTGTGTTGTGGCCAGTTGTGCTGAAGTTCTTAGGCAGGCTCTTGCATCGCTGCTTTTGAGCAGCATTGAGCAGCTGTGACCAGAGCGACTCTTGGTTTTCACAGTTTCAATTCAATTCAATTCGATTCAATTCATTTCAAGGCACTTTACATAGAAGGCCAAGGAGAGTCAAAATGGGTGGAAAAGAGGGGAGAGAAGAGAGAGACAGTGGGTAGGGTGATGAGAGGGGGCTATAGAGGCGAGAGAGGCGAGAGAGACAGGGAACACTTGAGCACCATCAGGAATCAGTTCTGACTAGTTATAATGAAAACAATAACAGTGTAAAGATATTTATTGATTATTGGTGGTGGCAGCAACGATTCAAATAATAATGAATTACTAATATGTATGGTTGTTATTATCATTATATAGTTGTTGTCCTGCAGTTCTGGAGTCAGACATACCTATATACTTATTTAATTTCCTATATTTGATCTGAGGAAAAAATCCAAACTACGAAACAAACGTTCATTTTCCAATTTGTTTTTCTTTTGTTTTTAAATACCCATTTGTGAACGGAAAATCCAAGAACCAAAAGATACACGGACCCCCGCCCCTGGCCAAAAAAGCCGTATTTTCGAACTTTTCCACAGAACGTAAACGCATCATAAGACCCCCCCCCCTTTACGTCAGTGAGTTTACATGTTCACGCAGGCAGCAGACGGATATCTGTTCACACAGGTACAGCCGCGGAGTGTAGCCTTCACCTGTAAATATGCGGAAGCAACATGTTTTTATGAGATAAATGCTTAATTTGGAAATGGACAGCTTTTGCAGTGAAAAGCGGTGTAATGGTGTAGTGGAGGTCTAACGCTCATGAAACGGACACAGCTGCATGAATTATCCCGTGTCACCGAAGTGTTTTCACCTGGGAAAGAACTGTGCAACAACCTCCGACATGTTCTTCAAGACTCCCGAGGTAAACACACTCTATTCATCTCAATTCGTTTTACAAGGAAGGTTTACGACATGTTATTTGGGATTGTGGAGGTTAACAGACAGACCCTCTTACTCTAACTCTTCTGTGTTTACCCCCTCAAATCTGTCTAAGTAAAAAAAGAAAAACCGTCTCCTTATCATAAGTCACTTATGATATGAGTGCTGCTAATTGTGACATATTTTATCTAAGGTGACTCCATTTTAATGGGCCAAAGACAAAACAATTCATATAGCAATATCACAACATAAAACACGGATATCAGATGAAACACAAATAATAGTTTAATCCTATAAAATGAATTGGTTTTTTTTTTCAAGAGCTAACTTTCTGACTTTCAGGATTTTTCTAAAAATATTTGGAGCCTCAACACATGCTTCAGTTTAAAAGAAGACACATTATGCATATTGACTAGGTTTCTTATGGTCTTAATAAAACATATATAAGACACTGTGGTCAAAATAAATAAAGAATCAAGTATCACAACTTCATCATGCCTGTGTGAAGAGCCCTATTCAGAGTGGCCTGTTTATGAGCATATTAGTTTGAATGCTATAGAGCCACTTCTCCCCCCCTCGTATGCACGCTTGCTATCTAGTTTTACTTGTGATCAGATTAACTGGTGGTATTTGTTTAAGTTTCATCATACCAGTATGAATTACAGATGTACAACTGCCAACACTCAAACCCTTAAAGGTCCAGTGTGTAAGATTCAGGTGAAAGAGATCTATTGGCAGAAATTGAATGTAGAATAATCCTCATGATGTTTTCACTAGTTAATTTCATCTAAATTGTATGAATTGCAGTTTTCTTTACCCCAGAAAAGGCCCTTTATATTTAAATACTTTATATTTACATCGAGGTAGGTCCTCTCTACGGAGGCCACCATGTTTTGTACATTAGTTCAGACTGGAAAAACTAAACACCTTTTGAGTTTTTATGACAACTGAAGGCTACCACAGGTTCTCTTTCATGTTTGGAAAGGGAGGGTGAGGTGAGGGGTGTTGCTCCAACATGCAACTTCACCACAAGATGTCACTAAATTCTACACACTGTACCTTTAACCCCTAACCATACACCATTTAACCTTATGCTTATGTTTTTTCTTTTGTATTTTTGGCTATGTGAACTCTGAGGAGAGAAAGAGAGTGACAGGGAGAGGTGTGTGTCAGCCGCTCCTGCCAAGCTGGTCAGAAACCAAAAGTAATCAAGGATTTCTCCCCTCGCTGTGAACTCCTCCGAAGGAGTTCTTTATCCAGCGTTGGTGGAAATAAGACTGTTTAATCAGTTCCCTCTTCTCAACTAACATTTTAGTGGCTCGCACACAAAAAATGTGACTCGTGAGTGACAGGACACCATAGTTGAATATCGTAGATTTTACAATTCTTACGTTTATGAAACCGCGGATATCGTAAAATCGGTTAATCATGAAATCCCTAGTTTACACACAGTCTTGTACTATATTTTGTTTAGCTGTGATATCGAATGTTGCAATTTGGGTTGTTCTGTGATGACTAGATGTTTGAGAAAAAAATTAAAAGAAGCAAATAATATCATATATCAAATTCTGTCTAAACAAATGCGAAGGATGTGGCTCACAGTAAATTTAAGATGCATGTTGAGAATAGCAAAACAATACAATACAACTGCATACGCAATCCGTGAAACACAAAATGACTGAATAGAGTGAGTTGGCATATTTGGTCAGGGGACTTTATGCACTATCTACTACAAGAATTGACTGATACAGGTTCATTGAATCAAGCTCCCACAAAGCACACATTCATCTGAAATGTGAGAAAAAAGAAATACAATGTAGTTCAATAATTTAGACATTGAAAAGGTGCTCCGGACAAGCCTGTCCACTGCACCTGTGTCATGTTGACAATACATCCAACACAGTCGGCACAATGTTTGCCTACTTTAACAAACAATGACTAGAGAGTACATGAAAGCTTAATACATCACATTAAAGCATGTTCACTTACTTTACTCACAAAGCTGCATGAGCTTCCATCTTGTTGATGCGAGTGATACAACGTGTGTGGTGTATGCATTGTAATGACAACTATGAAAACTCTTTAGCATAAAACAAAGCAGTTTGCACTGAGCCTACGCCGACTCTTGACCAGCCATAAAAGGGAAAGGTATCGGATTGACAATCGGTGCGTTCAACGACCAGTCGGTCAAGCATAAACATATCTTACGCCAGCCATTATGATGAAGAAGAATAGACTTGAAGATACCTGCTTAGCTCATGCTAAGGAGCTAGGCTAATGCTATCCTTTGTTGCTAACTGGCTACTGCTGTGGTCTTCTTTTTTCTGAATGATAGCGGTCAACCCAACAAACCTACCTAGAGGTAAGTTACCCTGAAACTATACAAGAAAACCTGAAGAATTGATTTATATATTATCATAATTATTGGGGGTGTAACGGTACACAAAAATCACGTTTCAATACGTCCCTCTGATTTGACATGCAGTACACTAGAAACAAGGA